TCAGCACTACAAAAAACTTTCCAAAAGTGTAGTCTTAGAAGCTTTAGAAGTTGGGTTAAAACTTTGTTAAAAATTGTCCAATGTTAACGGATTTGCTTTCCTCTAAAAAGTTTTATAGGTATGTACCTATCTAGGTATTTATAACTATTATAATTATGGTTAATTTTGTATATATTTAAATTTATATGTATAATTAACCATAATTATAATAGTTATAAATACCTAGATTGGTACATATAAAACTTCATCATTGGACAATTTTTAACAAAGTTTTAACCCAACTTCTAAAACAGACTACACTTTTGGACCTACCCTATAGGGTATGACTAATTGCCGACAATTAAATCAAATCTGGTAAACTAAAGTGCAAAGAAGCAAAAGTCTCGTTTTAAGTAACGGATCTTGCGGACTTATCCAACCAACATCCCGGATGGATTCATTAAAAACATTCGCAAACCGCACATGCACACACACACACATAGACAATAATATGGCACGTTGCCGGGCATCACGCATCGCGTTTGCCAGGATTGTCTTTCCTGCTTTTCATAGCCAGTGTTGCAGATGGCACATTCCTGCTATAGCATATATGCGCTTTGATTTGATGTTTTTGCCGTGTACGATCTCTCTCGCTCTCGCCTGTAAGAATCAATGAACGCACTTCCTGGGGATATTCGATCACGTTGCCAACTGTTGCTCAATTTGCTCAATGGAATTTCGCTAAAAACGTGAAATCTTTTCTTTTGAAAGAGTTTATAGGAAAAATGGAGAGGTTGTGCCATTAGAGTAACGGCAAGTTTTTTGATGTGTCTGAATTCAGTTAAACTGCATAAACTAAGTTTGGAATGAATGCAAAAAGATATGGGAAGACGTTAAAATCCATTAAAAGCAATGTTATTGCGAAAATCGTAAATTTATTTGTTGTTCTTTCACAACATAATATTATTAAAACATTTTTCCAAAGTTTTGGCTCCAATTTTTTCAGAAATCTAGTTTTTAGTTAGCTGACGATTTTTTAATTTTATTGTTTTTGCACTAAACCCTTAACTTTATTTTGCTAAAATAAATAATGTTTTTATCATATATTATATCACGAGAACTATGAATTTAATCGGGTAAACTAGGCTCAGTAGTTTTTTGTTTGGTTTTTGTTGGAAAATGTTGAATGCAAAATAATTTAATAAAATCACGAGACCGCGTAGGGGTTTTATTTTTAATTATTTTGCATGAAACTATTTTCCAAAAAGAAAAATCAAATAAAAAACTTACTGAGCATAGTTTGACAGATTAAATTTATAGGTTGAGTGATATACGTCTAGATTATTTCTCGAATTAAAGGAAACTACCTATTTGACCATTCATAAAATCTGACGTATGTGTCAAAGTTTATAAATATTTTTTTAAAGAAAATTCTATTAATTTAAGGTATGTAATAAGTAATAATTGATATTTCGTAAACTAGATAACTTATTTTTATTGTTTTTTAAAAAATGTTTGTTAAAACTTGTAAATAACACCATAAAATCGTAAACAAAAATCCAATATAGAGGCTAAAATTTAATCGCTGTTAAAAAGGTCTAGTGATTTAATCGCTTATTTAAACGAAATTTATTCGAAAATTCAAGGCGTTTGATTGGTTCATATTATAATGAGGGAAATAATCGTAAGTAATATCAAAAGGGCATTTAATTTTTCCGAAAAGAATCGAAAAAACACGTTGCTAAGTAATATTTTAACAAAAAGCATGAGTGCTGGTGGCAACAAAAATCCGAGTCGAAGAGGAGGATTTTTGCACCCGCACGAATGCATTTTGTTAAAAAATATTACTTAGCATTGTGTTTTTTCGATTTTTTTCACAGGAAAAATTAGATGCCCGAATGGTATTTGACAAGACTATTTCAAGAGTAACAGTTAACAATTAAAATATAAATTGCAATTTTTGGTGACAACAGCTGTCAAGTTTTGCCGCGGGTAAACTCGAAAAAACTGCTGACAGGTGCTGTCACACAGTTTTTTCACCTAGAAACCATTTGTAATTCAAAATTGCGCGTTTGTGATTGGTGGAAATTAAGACGAGGGAAATAGTCACCTAGAAACCATTTGTAATTCAAAATTGCGCGTTTGTGATTGGTGGAAATTAAGACGAGGGAAATAGTCAATATATAAAATTAAAAACTAAATATTTGCATTTTTGTTTTATTATCGAATTACAAACTAGTTTATAAAATATTTACTTTTTTGTAACAAAATCATATCTGCGGTCAATATTTATCTATTCAACAATCCAATCGAAGCGAATTAAGTTTGGAACAGTAGGTAGATAGTGGATGTCTCACTTAACTCACTGTCACTTAATACCTTAATTATGTTAAGAATTGAATGTTAAGGACGCATTGAACACTGAGCAAGTAAATTGGCCGAAATTATAGCGGTGGGCTGACTAACGACTTTACATGCTTGTGTTCGCGATCTAAGTATGTGGAATTTATGTATATCCACCAAACACAGTATAAAAATATTAACCAGATAATATGTTAATCCAGGTCCACAACACAATTCAACCATAATTTTTGTAATTTTCAAAAAGGACCTTATTTTTACAAACCTTTTTGTAGACCTTCCAACAAAAGTATATGTTGGAAATTGAGAACTTAAATGAAAAGAATTTTGATAAGAAATGTTGCTTTATTAATCAATTTCCCAAAAAAAAATAACATATATACATACGTATGTGTTATTTTTCTTTGTTTAGGTACCTACATAAATGAACACAAAAATAAACAAAAAAATAACATACATTAAGTAAATTATAAAGAAATTTGGTACAATATAATTATCAGTACTAGAACACTTAGGGCCGGTTTATCAATGTCCAGTTAAAGTTGCAGTTAGTTATCTGGTAGATAATTTCCATGCATGGAGATGTGAGAACAATTGTATCCATGGATACAATTGTTCTCACATCGATCGATATGGAATTTAACTCTCAGATAGACTAACTGGAACTTAACCAGAGATTGATAAACCGGTCCTTACTGATGTATTTTGTAACTTTAACCCACTTCACTGTATCCCCTATAGTTTGAAAACCAGTGATGGCATCTTTTTTTCGGATACTTTGTACTTCGCACACTCGTTAAATAGGTATAAGGAATCCGAATAACAATAATAACAGATTTCTGGAAATACATTATAAACACACTAGACAGTTGTTACGAACACGTTACGAATTAGAAGGTAAGCAGAAACTTAAGTTACAGACGCTAAAGTCAGTTAAACTTGTTTATGCGTATTGTCAGTGGGAAATGTTTTGATTGACTGCCTGAAATCACGTGTACTTTTTCAACTAAATAATTTGTTAACAAAATAATCTGTAACCTTTAAAATTAACAAAATGCCTACAAAATTGCATATATGCAATATATTACCTTTAGAAAACTGTTAAAATAATTATAAACCCTGCACGGAAAAAAATAATCGGTAGAGGCTACCGATTGGCAATCGGTAGTCTCTACCGAAAAAAAATCGGTTCCCTCAACCGATTTTTATCGGTAGCAGCTACCAAATGTTTTCGGTAGAGTCTACCGATTTTTTCGCTGCAGGCTACCGAAAAAATCGATTACCAATTTTTGAAAATTTTTGTATTTTTTTAGCGAGAAGTTAAATACTCCCTTTTCATTAAATAGAAAATAGTATTTTTTTTTGAGGTATAAATAAATTTGAAATACAAAAATATTAAAAATGAGGAGTAATTTTTATTAAATTTTTTACAATTCTAAATAAATATTAAATTAAATGTCTGGTGGCTCAAAGTAGAGATTTTTTTTTGTATTAATAAACAAGGTTCTAAATTTGGTAATTTGCTCTTATAAGAATATATTCTTTGTCATACTTGATTTATAATCAATTTCAACGCAATAAGCATGATAGTGTTGATCAAAATACAATGTTTTAATCGAGAACATGAGAAAAGTTATACAATTATTTACACTGACTATTTCATTAATTTTTCCGAAGACTGGATCGTTATTATCATCAATCTCAACTAAAACAACCAAACCTTTCTGATATTTTTGACCACTTAAAGTTACATGGTTGTAGCATAGTATTTGATCTTCACTGATGTTGTCGAAATACTTGCTAATAATTTTTTTAATTTTCTAACAGCGCATCGATGCGGATTTTCTCGGTTACGGCTACCAAAAAAATCGGTAGACCCTACCGAAAAAATCGGTAGACTCTACCGAAAAATAATCGGTAGCTACTACCGATAAAAATCGGTTGAGGGAACCGATTTTTTTTCGGTAGAGACTACCGATTGGCAATCGGTAGCTGCTACCAATTGCCAATCGGTAGCCTCTACCGATTATTTTTTTCCGTGTGGTTTTCTAAAAAAAAATATGTTAAAATTTTACAAAATAAAATTAACAAACTACAAACTCATGTTAACAAATCCAATTTTTATAACAGTGTACGTTTACTTTACATATTATTTTCAATATACATGTTCATTAAGATTAATAGGATTTTAATTATATATTATTTCAACGTTTTTGATAATTTTATTAGATGCAAGGACTTATTTACAACAATAGATTCTAACTTATGTAAATTCATTCGGATAACGATCGAGTTCAAGAAACTTGTGTTTAAAATAATAAAAACGTTTAAACAATAAATTTTATTGGAGATATCTACATAAATTGGGCGGTAACAACAAAAATGTTAATTATATCTTTTGTTTATTTGTACCTAATAGCTTTATTTTATCCTTTATGCAAATCACCTGGTCTTGCTATTTAAACTCCAAAGTTTACATTTGAATATAAATTGACTAATCAATGTTTCATTGATGTTAAAAAACTAAATATTTTTATTAAATATTTAAGTTTGAATTCCCAATAAACAATTTTAAAGCTATATTAAATGTTCTTAAGTTATCTTTTGGGTTTCAAATTGGCTAACATGTATTATTTGCTAATTATTTTTCTTTCTTTTAGGATTTGTGTCCTGTTCGCCGAGTCCTTGCAAAAATGGCGGGGCTTGTGTATCGTCTCCGAAAGGCGGTTATGCTTGCAAGTAAGTGTTCCCTTTTATATTTTATTTTTTTATTGTATATTGTAATTTTGTCGCCACCCTTTTTTGAATCACACTTACAAACATAACGGTCATTCAATTCGTGCTTCCGTTTAATTGATGACGCCTCAAAGACGCTTGCTTGTAATGTATGCACCCTTTAATTTATACGACTGACATAAAGAATAAACCAAGATTTATAATGATTTAATGTGTACTGTTTAACTTGTAAGTAATTGCAATGTAACGTGGGGATGAGCACATATTGCTTGGATTTTTACAAAGCACTTCATTACACTATCGTTTTAATTAATGCATTCATCTATAGGAAGTGATCCCCTAAATCTAATTTTGATCAACACTTGTCCTCTGCTTAAAAAACCCATAAATAAACCTTAGGTACACATTGTATAAGGGTCACTTTCAAAGGTTTATCCACAACATATGCCCACTCGATACACGATTTCAATAGACTCGCATTTTATTGTTGGTTGCATTTTTTATTAGGGCGGAGGGGATTTGTGTTTTTTGAACACATGTCCGCGTTCTCTGTTCGTAGATTGTTTTGATAAGCATGTGTATCGTATTAAGAGCTTAGGTTTAAGAAATAATGCTGATTTGAATAAAAATATACCTTTATCGCGTAAATCTGGACATTTTTTACAAATAAGCTTGTATACTTAAAGTATAAACGTCAGACCATTCTGCAGCACACATGGTTCCAAATACAACAGTTTTTTATGTTTGGTATTTTGTTTAACAGCTGAACTAGAGGCTCTATAGACTCATAGCAGAAAATCCAGTTTCACAAAGGTATACCACCTATATATAGGGGGTTGTAAATAAAGTTAAAAAAACAATTCCTTTTTGGACCAAGTTGTGTACTCTGACCAAAATTTAGATACCTCTAAATTCGGGAACTTCGTTTTTAAACCTTCCTGGCCAGATAATTTTATCAAAGACGCTTTTTATCGATTGTCAGTGATTCAGGACTGCAAACAGAAAAATAAAATTTCATTTCAAGCAAAATTATTGTTTTAGAAATGTTTACTTTATTCAAAACACAATCAGTTCTAGTTAAGACTAGAATATCATTTTTATTTTGAATGTGGTTTCTTTAAAAATTCTCAATTTTTAAATCAAGAATATTTTATATTTGATTCAAGAGTATGTTTGTTTTGAATAAACCCACGCATGTGCTAAGGTACCGTCTTGACTCAGCGTAGCGTCCTTCTTTACATGACGGTATACCGGTACAATGGTGGTGAAATTGTGGTCTATTTTGTTGTCGTTTGTTTAATTGGAGATAACTTGGGTCTTCATTCAATGTTAGGTTACCAAGAAAGTTTTCCTGCAAATTTTTTTTGCAGGTTTAGCACTACACCCAAGATAGAAACCCGAAAGCAAGTTACAGAAAATGCATCCCTGTTAAGGGAGAAAGAACAGTATTCTAATCATTTGTAAAACAACAGCTTCGATGTTAAGAAAAAATATGCGTTATAATGCATGACTTGTTTGATTGAAAGGTGTGGCCCGTATTATTTAATATTTGGTGGAGAACAAGTATTTTAGTGTTGCTACATTAAATAACAAAATAAAGTATTTAAAATTTATATTTTTTTTATTACAAAAAAATTAATATCTATAAACAACGCTTTATATTTTCACTGTAAAAATTGAAATGAATTTCATATAAGCCGATAGGGTTTATTTTGAGAATATCATGGTTTTACTTTAACACTGTTTCTTTTCAAATTAAAAATACGATTTTTTAGTACAAAAATATGTCGATAGTTTTTTGGAAAATATTCTGCTTATTTTAAGAAAAAATAGTCTTAAATCAAAGTTGTTATAGCTACAGAATAAGAATTAAAAAAGATTAACCGCAAATTGCGAATTTCAATTTAAGAATTTTAGGAATTCAACATAACATTACTATTCGAATTTATTGTAAGAAAAAAACATTTATTTGTGTATGGAAAACTAAAATTTGCTTGGAACAATAGTATTTTATTTGTTTTAGGAATAATCTTGTATCTGTTTGCTCTTCAAAATAAAAGGGTTATGTATCTAAAGAAATTAAGAATAGCCTTTGAAGTATTTGTTAAACATTAATCAGCCTTGTTTTGAAAGAATTTTCAAACATATCACACATTGTGGTGAGCCGTGTTCCTTTTACCACAAAGATCAAATTAAACGAATTGTGATTGGTCAGTCAAAAATCGAATGTGCTTTATCCAAGGATGTATAGATGTATAGGTTATGCTGATTTAAAAAAAAAACAGGTTTTTTGTAACAGATTTAAATATTAACCTATAAGACGATGCAGTTATCCGTTAAGGAAAATATTCCCTTGGGGTCAAAATTCCTGAAATCAGCACGAAATCAAATTGTTTATGACTGTATCAATGGCTTTTTATGATACAAATAGTTTTTAATTAGGAGACACTTTTTCGATAAAAAAAATCAATTGATATCAATATATGTATAATTTTAATCCGGGAGGAGAAGAAGTTTTACACTTTTAACCCAAAAGCATGTGGATAATATAAAATTAATTTGTTGTTGACAACACTGGCTCGTGCCCTCCTCCTCTTTCGGTTGGCAACGTCGCGGCCGCGAGCCTCAGTTGTCTTGGAAAGTGGACTAAACTCCAAGATATGTGTTCGGTGTTCGTCCGTGGCGCGCGGCAAGCGGAAACGGAATGGAAAAAGACGACTAGATCGCGTAAGAGCGAGACGCTGCCATTGTGTACCTGTTCCCACGAGTCAAAGCAACTGCCCGGAGTATGCAGGGTTCACCACGCAATGTCTTCATAAGACCGCAACGCCATGTGTACTTACACCCAGCGAAGAATAAGGTGCACACACCGAAATTCGAATTTGCGTGGGCAAACAGTTCGTCTATCCATTTAATCTTCCTTCTTTGCCCAGACAATAATGACTTATTGCATGCAGGAAGTTACTCGACCTTTAAATTAACTCATCGATATAACAAAGAACGGTGTGACCACACTCAAGTTCATTCATTGTAAGCCATCTTCTAAAATCTACTTTTACTACGTTTGTTGTTTTTTGCTGGCTCATTTCATCCGACACATGGTGTCAATTGCAATAGAGGATTTCGTACTTATTTATTATTAATTCAAAGGGGTCGTCTTGATTGTCTATTGTGCCTTACAGTTTTGATAAAGGGTTAAACGCACCCGTGAATCCATTCAACGTAAAGCACATGTGCATATATGACATAAAAAGGGCTATTTATGCTTTTTAGTGGTCGATATGCTCATAGATCACGCATAAAAACAACATTCTAAATACTTATTCCATATGTTTAAAATCTATATTTTTAATTGTATCAAGTCATCGCATCCTTTCTCATGGTTCTTCGACCAAAACTTTCTTGATGATCGACGCTTTTTATTGTTTCATCCCTAATGTACCGAACGAGATAATTGAAGCTTTCACAACAAATGAAATGCACTTTGCTTTTAAAAAGGTGTTTGCGGCCCATTTGAGTCCTAATGGCTTTTAAGAAAAATACTTTATAGCCATACCAATAAAAATACCTACTAACGTAATTATCGCATAAAAACAAGTGAATATTTAAGTACAAAAAAACTTTTGACAAATTGATGCTCCATTTATCCTAAATACTTTGGAATCTTTTGTAATCTAAGCTTATGTAAATTAACTGCTTTAATAGAAATCTTTTTAAGATAAACACTTGAAATCTACCAGATTGTTCATACATTTTATTAGGTATGTATGGGGGATTAAAGTATTAATTTCATTTGATAATGTAAAAGGTAAAAACTAATAGGTTTTATTAAATTTATGGCATTTCTTGTATCCTTAATTAAAACCAGACGAAACCGGGCTACCGGTTGCACGAATGCATTATTTTCGGTTTCGTATAGTGATGTATGCGTTTATAATATAAGGTCCGAAGCCTGAAAGTATAAGGAAAAATGGACACATGTGGCATATAAAACCTTTTTTACAGACAAAGGAACAACGGCGGACACATAGACGTGCCGAGTCAACTTACTAAACTGAAAAACCTCGTATAGAAGAACACGTAGGGCACGCAGACCCGTAATAAAAAAAATTATAAATTGGAATTCTTTTGTAAAAATCGAAATGTCTCATTTGAAAATGTTTAAATCCGATATACACCCGAGATTTTGTAATTTTTATTTTTATTTAAGGTTATTATTATTGAGGCACTTTCTCAAGGGGAATTCAAATCTTTCAAAATATTTTTGTTACCTTTTAAAACTGCCTAGATAAGATAAGCAGTTTTTCACATTAAAATTGAAGAGGATGTTTTTATGGGTACTCCACCCGAAATAATGAATGATCTATATACTCCTACATTGACGAGCTGTGAATTTAAGGCGTTTTATTAACGGGATAAAGTTAGCAACAGTGGCTTTTGGGCTTTTTAGTCACGCGTTAAAGAAAAAATTAAGGTTAAATCCGGGTGACAGTTGACAAATGTCAAATTTTTAACAAAAAAATTGGCTTTAACTTAATGGCCGTCATCAACAAAACTACAGCTTTAATAAACCGTGATTTGTTGTGTTGTTGGGTGTTTCTCAAGATGAAATCCTGGGTTGAGTTTCCCAATAAACGGTGGGAATTCGAATGAACAAATAAATTGCACACAGTCCCTGTAAATATGAATTGTACCTAGTGGATACAATAAATACACGTTTTATTAATGATTTACGTGAAAATTGTACACATTTAAATTGAATAAAAATCATTAAACAAATAAGTCGTCTAAATGCAAACAGTGAATGAATTAATAAAAGCGTTGATTGAGAAAGTCTTCACTCAACGGTAAAAGACCAAAAACGGGTATTATATATTATATTATGTTGCCATGAATTCGTAAATAATTTTACGTTTTCTAAGAAGCTAAAGGCCAAAAAAATTTAAGAAGAAGAAGAAGATAATTTTGCCTTTTACTATTTCAAAATGCAGGCGTTTTTTAAA